TCCAGGAAAACTACGCACCCGCCGTTTTCCAGCCGCTCGATCTCGTAACCGCATGCCGCGGAGCTCGGTCGTCCGTGACGAAAACTTCAACGCGATGACTTTCTTCGCGACGCGCGTTCTCAAACGTTGCGCCATCGACTTCCGCTTCCCAGGTAAACCGTGGATTCGATCGCGATCGCCAGGGAATTGCGTTTCAGTCGGGCGAGGAGGGAATTTTCATCGGTCGATTCGTGACTTTTTCTTCAAATTTACAGAGTTCGCGAGGTTCGCAGAGTAGCAACGGGTGCGTCGTCCACGTCTTTCAGGAGGAAAGTTAGCACGCGCGTACGGTTTCCCTTTTAGAAGCTTTGCGACACGTTACGAGGCATTTTTAGGGCCGTTGCACGCTCGTGGTTACCACCAAGTGCTGAGTTTCTCGATCGCGCGATCTACGCACACGCGGGGTCGATTCGCGATTCTCGTTGCTTACCAGCAACAAGATCGGAAAATTCTCTTTACATTTTTCCGAGAGACGATCGCGAACGTTCGCCGATCGTGTAACGCTCTGCCTGTCGATTATGCGTTTCCAGATAGACGCGGGTATCTTAGAAAATTTCCAACAACGAGCTTAGAGAGAGAGTTGGTTTTCCACGACTCCGCGAAGAAATCGCGGACGTCGAGTCTTGGAATAAAATTCTGTTCGTACGCGGGAAGAAATGCGTTGTACAGTTTCTTCTTTATTGGACTGCGCGGCCAGGGGAATCGAGGACAAAGTTGTATTTGTAAGTGACCTGTTCTTCTTACTTAGGCTTTGTGCATGGAAATCTTCGTTATCACTGGCTGGCGATAGCATATATGCGTGTACGTGGTTGGAAAGTCACGCAGTCGTGTACCTACGCTTTGTAAATTGCACAATCGTATTTCGATATTACACCGTTAGATCGCCATCGAGCAATTTATTTATAGCCATCGGTAGTTTCTGCTTCTCTCGTCGTCGTCGTCTTACACGTTCAAAATTAATGTAACGCACGATGGCTGGCAAAAGTACTGCAACCTACTTGCCATAGGAAATTTTGCTGTCCGCGTTATTTTCGAATTTCATTAGCACCGTGGTCAGACACAGCGCTAGCGATTGTCTTGCTTGAAGAAACTAACTTGGAAATTTGCGGATGTAGAAATTTACCAAATGTTCGTCGCGAACATACGTTTGCTAAAAAATTACTCTACAGCGCGTAATAATAATATTTTGTCAATGCCACCTAATGACAAAATCCGTAATCACTTAGTTGCCAATATTATTAATAGATAATTGATCGTTTAAATTTACTTTGACGATGTCTGAGAAATATATATGTATATACACGTAGCTGTAGTTGCGTTAGAAATGTATTTACATGTGCAAAAGGAGAAAAAACCTAGTTAAAGATTTAACTCTGTTTTGTTAATTTTTTATTTCACAATTAGACGAATCTTTCGTGTAAAGTACGATGCGTTGTTCTCAATTACTTTGCTTAAATCGTTCGTTGGAACACCGATATCCACATTTGCAGATAAATTAAAATATAAGTTTGTCAAACATCGAAGCTTCGTGGTAGCTTCGGCATAGTAGGTAAGCTTGTGTCGGTTGAAAGAGAAAAAAGACGCGTACTATGCAAGGTTTCTATTTCTTGGAAAGTTTAAATTGCAAATTCTATGATTCACTATTGCACGAGTAGGCTGATACTCGTAAGCTAGCTATATTTAAACATTTTTTATTTATAGCCAGGCGTAGAACGTTGGAAAAAAGTCACATTGTATATCGCGTACATCTCAAGTTGGAATTTACATTTGCACTTTATTATTTTCGTAAGATACGAACGCGCGAAGTTGCATTTTCCAAAGTTGGTCACGTTTTTTTTTTTTTTTTAAACGAGTATTTTTTAAACACGATAAATCTTTGAAGAATTAACTGTGTGTTTGTAAAAATGACGTTTCTACGTCTATGCGTTGATAAATGAAAATAAAATTTCGATCTAAGATACGGTAACATGTTTTTCCTCTAAAATCTGTCGAAGAAGATATTTCGAAGAAATAAATGTCTTTTTATCGCATCGCTCGTTCTACGTTTTATCGCCTTATACTTACGTAATATTCTGCAATTTGTTAGACTAACATTTTACAATATTTTTTTGCGTATTAATATTAGAAAAAAAGTATGTCGTATCTTGCGTCGTTATGGATCATTTAACACGATTATGCAATATCTTCCGAATGCCTGATTGACGATAAGCGAATGTAAATAGCCTCGTTCAGCTTCTTTCCTACTGTATCGAAGACACTGGTACATATCGTAGGTTCCTTGAAACCGATAAGATTGCCAACTCAGCTTTACGATTCTTTATCTTATCCAGTAAACTGATACACTTATTTTAATATCTAACTTAATTAGCGTACACAATGCGTATACAGGGTGATTGGTAACTGGTGGTACAAGCGGAAAGGTGGTGATTCTACGCGAAAAAAGGAGTCGAAAATATAGAATAACAATTTTTCGTTCGAGGCTTTGTTTTCGAGAAAATCGACTTTGAATTTTCGCTCGGTACGCGTGCACTTTATCGCGTCTCGTTATAACGGATCTAGATCGTTGTCTCGATTGATGTCATTTTAAAAATTTTTTAAATTTTTAAATTTTTAAATTTTAAATTTTTAAATTTTTAAATTTTCAAATTTTAAATTTTTAAATTTTTAAATTTTTAAATTTTTAATTTTTAAATTTTTAAATTTTTAAATTTTTATTCTATATTTTCGACTTCTTTTTTCGCGTAGAATCACCCCCTTTCCGTTTGTACCACCAGTTACCAACTACCCTGTATATCATTGTACATCTATTGTTCCATCAAGCTAAAAAGACATTCTACAGGATGTTATTAGGATAATAACAGATACATACTCTATAGAACACATTACACAAATTATAGATAATAAAATAAGTCATTTTATAACAAAAAAAATAAATAATTTCTTCAAATCTTGTACAATATAGCTAAATTGTACAGAACGTAGATAGAGAAAAGTTGTCATTGTTAATTGCACTTTATCGCGTCTCGTTATAACGCATCTCACTGTAGATCGTTGTCTCGGTGGAAAAATTTAAAAAATTAAAAAGAAATTTTTTATTCTATATTTTCCACTTCTTTTTTCGCGTAGAATCACATGCTTAACCTTTCGCACTGGAGGTCTTTTTCGGTGGGGCGTAGCAGCTACTCCGGATGATTTTATATAGAAGTTAACTCGCAAAAAAAATTATATTCTAATAACTTGTCTATATTTACACGTTTGGAAATATGATTTTGTAATATTAATTTCCGTATTTTTTTTATGATAATTTATAAACCATTCACCAAGATGCGTTCTTCAATATAATTAATTTCATTTTTCAACAGTTGAAAATCAAGTTCATCTTCGTTTCAGCTAATTTCACTTGCGAAGACTAGTTTTTAAGGGTTTCTAAACTATAATACCTTTGCCATGATCGTCGAATCCAAACTAAATTTGGAGACGTTGTCAGAACCATAGCTTCAAAGGCATATGGGATTAAATATTTGATCTCCATTTTAAAGTCTAACGCCTTACGCTTGCTAACAAAGAACGCAAACAACTAAGGAACCAATTTATCTACCAATATCGCACCCATCAATCGCAGATGTCGAAATCTAACGTAAACAGGGACTGTCGCTTCTCGCTCTCCACTGGAGTTGCAGCTCGGAACACCGTGGTGGCTGACAGTCGCCTCTCGAGTGCAAAGGGTTAATTAAGTTCAAATATATTACGCTAATAGTACTTTTACTAAGCTGATAGTACTATTACGTTAATAGTACCTTTTTCACGCGATTGCCAAACGAAAAGTTCTGTATCGCGAGAGAGAAACGTAGAATCTATTTGGTTTGGCAACTAAGTGATTGCGGATTTTGTCAGTACCATCTAATGACAAAATCCGCAACCATTTAGTTGCCAAGCCAATGTTTGACGAACGTTTCGTTGGAAAGCAACAAGGGCGCAACTTTTTCGTAGCCATCGTAAATGGACCCAAGGCGTATCGGAAATACGCTCTCTCGGCGTCGCGTAAAAACAGGAATTCAATTCCGTTGCCGGCTAACACGAGCTCCGGTTAAAAATAAGCTTTCCAGCTAAAGCAAACCCGCGGAATGTTAATTCCCTGCTTTCGATCGGATCCTGCAATTAGCTCTAGCAGACCGCTGATTCCGTAAAACAGCAGAGTTCCGCATGCGTTTCATTACAAGCGTATTCTTACTTTAAATGCGGCTCGAAGCTCGCGAGTATTAGATCGATTTGAAAGTTCTGTCTGTTTGGTAGTTTCGGTTTTCAAGGAAAGCAGATCGACTGTACTTTTATTCGTCGAGTCTACGATACAGTGTGCGTACGTGTCGGAGGTGCAGGGACAACGGGCCTTTCTTTTCGTATTTTGGTAAGATTCCCAATACTTTGGTCCAAACTATTCGTTTTAGCTGTACTTAAATAATAGAACCTAGAAGTAGTTGTCGCGATACGTTCTGATTATGTTTGCCCAAGGTTTGTGACAGTGGGCTTGGGGTCCAGGTGACACGACTGGTCGCCGAACGTAGCCACGGTCACAGGATGAACGTTTTACTTAACAGTAGAAGTACCAATATCGAGGGATTCACGCTGTGTTAACAAACGAGCCCCGGGGAAGGAGCTGTGACGACTCTACGCGGGTCTGCCTAGTAACGGCGCCTGGAATTTTGTCGATAACCCCTATCGATAGGCAATTGACAAGTGTGATCGTGTCAGTCTTTTATTCTTACGATCACCTTGGAGAGTTTACACACAACGTCTGGTCAATCAATCAGAAAGATACCGTGCGTCACAGCTAACGTAATTTTGGGTTTCAAAACATATTCAATTGTACAAAGAGTTATCTCGTTGACCGTGGATTCGTTTGAACCTAAGAACATCGTCTTTACTTTAAGGGTGTCTAACAATCACGTTAAATCGTTAAACCATGTTAAATCAACGCTTGTACATATAATTGAAAATATAAACGTCATTGAACGACAACGATGGCTTGTTCTAATGAAGATACGCAACGCACCCCTAGAACTAATGGCAACCAATCAAAGATATTTTTATCTTGCCGATTTATTTATTTTCCATTCTATAAGAGTCTCTTAGTTTTTGTCGTTAGAACATTTCTATCGATCTCTCCGTTTAAAAAAAAAAAAAAAAAAAAAAATCGATTCGTCGAGTGAAATTTTTGCCAAGTAATTTCTAGATTTTTTGCTAAATTGCCAAGTATTTCCATTTATATTTTGCCACTTCGTTGCGTATGTCATCGAGTCACAGATATTTGGCAATGTGGTTTCTTCAGTTTAGTTTCTTCCGCAATTCTTCAATTTTTAGACGTTAGACGTTAGATTTCTATCGTTTTCCGCGTATCTCGTCCATAGAAAGAAAATCGCGAAAATTACGAGAATGTATACGATTTAATCAAATATCTCGATTTGCTGGAGAATTTGTAACGCGATGCAACAGCAACATCGTGTTTCTAATATTACATGCGTTGTCCGTGTTTTATGAACTTCCCTTCCGCGTTAAAAATAAACGTTTATTTTTTTTTTTTTTCAAAGGGTTCAGGAATATTTTCACCGCTATTTCCACAATTTATAACATCCCTCTTAGCCTATTCATGACAAGACACCTACCCCATTCGTCTAACCTTTTATTTCGAAGCTCGTCGAACTATTTGTTCCAACGAATCACTTCGAATTTCCAAATTGATCCAAAAATTTGCTTTAAAAAAAAAATTGTACTTATATGTAATAAAAAGATCCGTCTCTTAGCTATCTTTTGAGTAATTTTTTAACAATTGTTACTCGTCTAAAGTAACAAAATAGCGTCGTTATTTATTATATTCGTTCGGTAGTAAAATACAGAATAAAATTTATAAACAGAACTTTCCAATTAATCTAATATACATATACAGGGTGGTTGGTGGTACAAGCGGAAAGGGGATGATTCCACGCGAAAAAAGAGGTCGAAAATATACAATAAACAATTTTTTTTTAATTTTTTTTTAATTTTTCCACAGAGACAACGATCTACAGTGAGATGCGTTATAACGAGGCGCGATAAAGTGCACGCGTACCGACCGAAAATTCAAAGTCGATTTTCTCGAAAACAAAGCCTCGAACGAAAAATTTTTATTCTGTATTTTCGACTTCTTTTTTCGCGTAGAATCATCCCTCTCCGCTTGTACCGCCAGTTACCAACCACCCTGTATATTTGTACTAAAAATCTTGTGTAATTGTTATATATATTTTTACATCTGCTTCAAAAATAAATATAATTATGATCGTTGAGTGCCGTTACAGTGCTAATGATATTCTGAAATATTTCCTATAATATAAAAGGTGTCTACAAATGTTCGAATATTTTGCCTGTGGGCGTGTGTAGTTTAAGCTTTTTTCTTTTTTTTTTTATTTACTAAAATTACAATCAATTCTCGCGTTGAGAATGTAGTTTAAGGTGAATTTTAAATAAACACTAAAAGAATTATTAAGCAAAGAAGGATAAAGTGACGCATTCGAACAACTAAAATTTCAAGAAGAAAAGTATCCGGCAAAACGTTTAACGTTTTTCTTTTATTGTTTTTTCTTTTTTTTTTTTGTATTCGCCGATCTTTACGCTCGTAACCGCGGCGAAAAGAGTTTTGTTCACCCGATAGGAATACGCTTCGTGTCGGTTCCGGACTCGACGAAGATCCGCGCGAGCGAACGAGCGAGCGAGCGAGCGAACGATTTCGAGCGGAAACGCGGCTCGGACTTTCCACAAGATTTTCACTCGAGTGCGGCGTATCGATTGAAATAGTTGCAGGAAGCATGTTGCGTGTGCTTACCCTCAAAGACGGTAGAGGAATGCCGGTAAGCTAATTCCATCGACATGAATTCAAGCAGCATGCCACGTATTGGATTTTGCGTAACCGGTCGTTTACATGTTGCCGACACATTAACACGCTCCAGATAATTTTTTGATAATTGTTCAACCGGCTCGAGGGGTTCTTTGATACCGCGGATTCTTTCCTCGATCGTCTTCTTTTCCTCGATTTTATATTTACGCGCTGTCTATATATAACGATCGTTACGTATAAATATTTCGTTGATCATCATCGTCATCGTCATCGTCGTCGTCGTCGTCGTCGTCGTCGTCGTCGTTGATCGTTGTCGTCGCATTACATCCTTCTTAAGGTACGTACAGTGTGCTGCGTGTAATTACGGACGAGGAAAAGCACATTTTCCGCCTCGTTTCTTCGATATTTCCGGAGAAATCACCGATCGTGCCAACGTGGATACGTTGAACGAAATTATTTTTGCAAAGGGTAGATTTAATTGCTGCCCCTCGTAATTGAGACGGAAGATAAAAGGACGATTTTTCAGCGAGACGATGCTTCGATTCGTACAGCCGCCAGAACGAAAAATATTGATTCGAAGATTTCGGAATAGAATTACTATCGCGACCAGTATCGTGCCCTCGTGTCCGGAGCCGATCGAGAGAACCGGCGGCCGATTCTAGCGAGGAAAATTTACGATCGAGAGAAACCATCTGTAGGAAATATCGTTGGACTTGAAAGAAAAGAATAAAATCCGCGTGGGGCGAATATTCGAAAGGGAACTTTGGATAAGTTGGTGGTCAGCGTACACACAGATTGATAAAAGTGAAGGAAGAAGGAAAAATCTACCAAATATCAGACGGAAACGTAATAAAATTAACACCGAGTTTATATGTTTTTTACAGCCAAAGATAAAAATTCAGGAGAAAATTTTCATTCGTTGTACCTTCAGTTTTGTTTTACCTTATAGCGTTGAAATTATACGGACGATTTTGTTAATTTTCGTTTTAATGTTACGAACAAAATTTCAACATGGGCTTCAGTTCTTAATTATTTCCCAATTAATTAAGTAAGACACTCTCTGAGACTCGAAAAATCGTATTCCTCGCGCACATCTCAGCTTCTCTGTCCAGAGAACAAGTGATTTCTTGACTATCGGTAAAAGAAAACAATTATTTGTTTGATATTTAACCCTGGCGTCCTCGTCGTTTCTTCCTCGCGGTTGTATCTCCTCGGGTAATCTCCTTCTTTCGAACTATTCTACCATTTTACTCACAGAAACCGTGGAATACGCAAAGAACACAAGAATTCAATTGGATGGTAAAGTTTCGGATGATAAAATATCTCATCGTTTATTCGTCTAACTTTGTATAAATTCTTATATTATCCGATTAATCAATTTCTTATTTTGAATTAAATTTCGAATTAAATTTTGAAACTAGTCGTTGAATTTGAAAGTTAACGTTGATAATATTATCGAAACGTAACATCTGCCATATTTCGGGTGATATAGAAGCGAGGAGGACAATAGGATCAGCCGAAAATACGAAAATACCGGTATTTTATCGACACAAAATTGACCGTACGCGTTCGTATCTGGGGATGATACTACGCGAATAAATACGCATCGATATTTTGTTGCGCAGCATTTGACTTTAACGACAGCCTGTAATCGGCGTGGGACTCGATCAGTTTCCAAATAAAGAAAGACGATTTTGTCAGATTCTGCGGAGAACGGTCGGTAAATAGAAACAGAAGGAAGAGAAACAAACCTTTCGACGCAAGAATTAATCACTGCCACGCATATAAGGTATCAAAGAATATTCAAAGAAATTGAAAGAAAATCGATCTACAAGTACCTCTACGCGTTCTCGTTGGAAAATGAGAAATCTGATTTTTGAGCATTTGCCAAATCTCCGTCGATAACTGAGAAGCTAGCAGATTCGCAGATTTTTCGATTCGTCTGTATACGAAATCGTAACGGAAACTGTATCGATTTGCAATCATCGCTTCCGATATCAATTCGCTACGATCAATTTCCGATATTAATTTTCTTCGGTGAAATCGTTTCTCGTCTCGAATTCATTTCAATCGTGAAATATAAAACGAAATATCTCGAGTGATACCGATTTCTGCGTCTCTCTTATTTGCAGCTCGTATATTTGCATCAATTCAATCTTGGAAATATCCCAATTACGAATTATACGTATTGTATATATTGTGCGTTAGTTCCAGCACGTTGCATTTTAATATAATAATAATCAATGTCTATAAATGATTAAATCGAACATAGTACGCGCCTGGAAAATTCAAACATTGAAATTCAGCTCGTTCCGACCACCGCGATACATTCCAGCGGAAATAAGCATTTTAATGGAATCAGTGGCGCGGAAATTCTGCACCTGCTCTATCAGCGTTTATTACACGAAGAAATTTCGCGTTACGTGATTTTTTTACACTTCCATTGCAAACGATGATTTTGAATACGATTTGTCGATGCGAACGCGATTAAATTAAATTTATGTCTCGATGAAAACGTGCGTGATGAGAGATATTTATTACTCTGGTCTTTTTTTAGTTCCCTTTTTTCCTTTCTTCTTTTTTTTCTTTTTTTCTTTCATTTTATTACAATAAACTAAAACTATTTCCTTAACCATATATATAGTCGCGATACCAATACGTTTAATTTTAACATCTTCTCACAGGAAGTTGTATAATTTAATCCGTAAATTAAATGATTATATCACACTAATAAATCTCCGTTAAACAAGCTTTCGGTATCGATTTATTTTTCTTTGGTTTCGCTCTAGTTCTACGATATGCGTACGAAATTTGCTGTTCTAACAGAAAGTAAACTCAAAATATATACGTTAACACCTCTGATGTTATCTAAGATGCGCGTACGAATTTGTTAGAAAATCTAATTTCTAAGTAACAAAACAGACGTATAGTAATCGAACGTGCCAATATGAAACTCGATATCAGACGTCGTGGATTTACCAGCGGTTTGAAAAAATATTCCATCGACGTTTTACTGCTTCCCCGTCTATTCCCTGTAACGCGATATCTTGTTCCCCCGTACGAGCAGAAATTTCAGTTTAGAATTTTCGAAGTGTCCAATGTGCTTCGTTATTCGCAATTCAGCGTATATACGCATCTCGTACGGAATTTCCGTAAATCGAAAAATTCATCGAATATCGTTGCACGATTTCTTTCATTCACTCTGATTAAAATCTCTGCAAAAAGTCGACTCAACGTTGGAAATTCAAAGCGCGCTTCGCTGGTCCAACGAAATATCGAAGCAATTGCGCATGCGACGTTGCAACCAAATACGCAAAATGGTGGCCACAAGAAAGTTTAAACTTGCGTTTATACGGGTTGTCAGGCGTAACTGGGACAAGCAACAACTTGGAAACAGTGAAAGATAAAAAGGAATTTCGTTAGAGAAAATTACTCGCCTCAGTGGCTGATAACTTTGTTTTGGAAAGTGGCCAAACGAACATTTTTATCGGTCGAACGTAGACAGTCGTACGCCACTTGCTCTTCAACGAAAAATATTCACACCGGTGCTCGTGACAAATTCTTTAATTCTACGATAACTTTTCTTTTCTTTTTTTCTTCCTTCTCGAATAATGCACAAACAAACTGGGTTTTTAATTCGACGAATCGTGAACAGACGAATAATGTTTGTTTGTTTTACGAAAATTTGCACTTGGGGGCGCCAACTTCACACACATGCGCGCGCGTGCGCGTGCGTTTATATCCGTAAAGAAATGCACAACGTTTCATACGACAAGGAGCGATTGTGCTCGTAAACCGGATGCTATGAATGGAAAAATAAATATCCTCTACGGCTTACGCTACGATATATTAAGATATCTTCTTGCCCAGCGTATTTTCCTTCGCG